TCGCCGGGACGCTGCTGCTGCTGCCTCTGGCCACCGCCAGAACCGCCTCTCTGGACCGCTCCACCCCGACCGCCACCACTGCCGCCGCCACCACTCCCACTGCTGCCACCACCGTCGCCACCACTCCCACCGCTACCACCCCCGCCGCCGCCGACGCCTCCACCCCCACCACCACTCCCACCACCACTACCGCCACCACCACCACCTCCACCGCCTCCACCACCGCCTCCACCGCCGCCACCCCCACCACTCTTGCCTCCCTTGCCCTTGCCGCTGCGGCGTGTCCCACTAGGAGCAGACGCAGCCCCGACCTCCTCAGCACCAAGGAAGTCAACAGCAGCAGCAGAAGCGACAGAGGGGGCAAGAGGGGAGGGGGAACACCCCTCAAGAGGAGTGCCATGAGAAGCACCTACAGCGACTATGCTAGTCTCAGCTGCAAGGAGTTGCTTCTCGAGCAGGTCGACAGTGAGGTCTGTGGGGTCAAGGGCGAGAAAGTGGTCCCTGACTGCGCGAAGAGAGTCAGGGAGGCGGGTGACGATGAAGTAGAGAGTGATGTACGTGGGGGGTGGGTTCTTGTCTAGAAACTCGGCCTTAAGCACGACGCGGTAGCGAGTGTCGCTAGTGCGAAGGTGGGTGATGAGGTCGTCGACTGTGGAAAAGGCTGACAGCTCAGGAAAGAGGTAGGGCAGTATGAGACGGCCTAGAGCAGCAGGGGCAGGGGAGGAGTAACCAGTGACTATAGCGTCAAACTGTGTCTTAGCAGTTTTGCGTTGACCAAAGTGAGCGCGTTCGGCTAACGGCAGGTGGTTGCGAACGGCGAGGCGAGCAGTAGCGTCGCGGGTAAGCCACTATGAGCGAGTCGCACTGTCAGCTGTGTCGGGGGGAGCAAGAGAGGTCCCAGACGTGTGGTCAAACAAGGAGACGCCGTCCCTAGACTCGCTCTGTAGGTACAGCTGTAAGTCCTCTAGCGGGGCCTCAAACTGGATCGGGCGGCCGTCAGAATCGAAGGTGAGAACGCTAAGAGAGGCCATGGCAGGCAGACCAAAACAACACGACGGGCAGGGCAGGGCGGTGCACGGGCACCAGGGAGGCGCGCAAGGCAGGTCAGGGCGGCACGCGGCTAGGGAAGGGCGGGGCGCAGCCAGGTCAGGGCGGCGCGCGGCCGGCAGGGCAGCGCAACGGGCAGGGCAGGGCACGCGCGGGCGGCGCGAAACAAGGCAGGGCGTGCGCGGGGCGGCGCGACGCAGGGCAGGGCGTGCGCGGGGCAGCGCGACGCAGGAAAGGGCGTGCGCAGGAAGCGCGACGCAGGGCAGGGCGTGCGCAGGGCGACGCGACGCAGGGGAAGGCGTGCGCGACGCAGGGCAGGGCGTACACGGGCGGTGCGACAAGCAGGGGAGGGCGTACGCGCGCGGCGCGACGCAGGCAGGGCGTGCGCGGGGCGGCGCGATACAGGGCAGGGCAAGGGCGGGCGGCGCGATGCAGGCAGGGCGTGCGCGGGGCGGCGCGACGCAGGGCAGGGCGTGCGCGGGCAGCGCGACGCAGGCAGGTCGTGCGCGGGGCAGCGCAACGCAGAGCAGGGCAGGGCGTGCGCGTGCAGCGCTACGTAGGGCAGGGCATGCGCGGGCAGTGCTACGCAGGGCAGGGCAGGGCAGCGCGACTGGTGGGGCAGCGCGACAGGCAGGGTACGATTTGGTGGGCCCTAAAGACGATCCTGGAACAGGACCTGCTCTAAAACCATGTCAACCTGTCAGAATCGAAAGTGTTGGTTTCATTGATGCAGGTTGGGGTACATATAACAAACCCTAACATTTGTACCCCCTAAGACAAACCTCACTACAGGCTACAACATTTGACACACCCCCATAGCCTAAGTGAGGGGTGTCACGCAAAACCAAAGGTGTACGGTCACAAGACCAGTCTCAAAGAAACAAATCTCAGGGTGGATCACAACGTCACCACACACTCTGAGCACAAGCAACAGAGGCCACAAGGCCAGTCCAAGAGTTCACAGAGGTATATAGCAAGAGTACAAGCGAGGCAAACAGTAAACTCAAGCCTACGCAAGACGAGAACCAGTGTCAACAAGGCCTAACAGCACATAGCACCTCTGGTGGTCACAAGGCGGAAGCGCCTTGGTGAAGATGTCTGCAGTGTTGGCCTCGGACTCCACAAACTCGAAGCGAGCATGTCCACGTCTCTGCAACTCTCGCAGAAGGAAGTACCTGACGTTAATGTGCTTCACTCTGCTCTCTAGTCGCGGCTCTCGACAGAGGAGAATCGACGTCTTGTTGTCAGTGAACAAGGTCGGTGCAGAGCTCGGCCGCTCACCAAGGTCGGCGAGCAAGAAGGTCAACCAGCGCAGCTCCTGTGCCGCCATGGCACCAGCGTAGATCTCAGCCTCAGCGGTAGAGGTCGAGACCGAGGAGGAACGCGTGGACCTCCAAGAAACAGCTCCAGAACCCAGACTGAAGCAGTACCCCTGAGTAGACCTGAGAGTCTCAGCGTCGTCAGCGTAAGAAGAGTCACAGTGACCAGTAAGTACGACAGACTGCTGCCCTCCAAGAACCAGCCCCATGCCTGATGTCGTCGCTAGGTACTTCGCCACCCTCACAGCTGCTGTCCAGTGAATAGGACGGTGTCTCCCTGGCGCAACAAAGCGAGCAAGGATGCTGAGAGGGAAAGCGAGGTCCGGGCGAGTACAGGTCATCAGGTACATGAGGCAGCCCACCAGCTCTGCGTAGGGACCACTAGGCTCAAACGGCTCGTCAGGAAAGGGTCCAGTGAGTCTGTGGTCAACAGCAAGAGGTGTGCGCTGTACTGTGGAGTGCTGAAGCCCAAACCGCTGAAGGACCTGCTGCACCATGTGTGACTGTGAGAGTGTAATGGTGCGAGCAGCTCTGTCCCTGGTGATCTGCAGGCCAAGGTAGTGGCGCAGCTCACCTAGGTCAGTGCACGTGTGTCTCTTCTGTAGTTCGGACTTCACGTCTGCCAAGGCAACCCTGTCAGCAGTGGCGAAAACCAGGTCGTCGACGTAGACCAGAACAAAGAACGGTGTGGAACCACGACGAACGAACAGTGACGGGTCGGCAGAAGACGGCTGGAAACCAAGGTCAGACAGGGTAGAACGAAGGGTGTCGTGCCACTCACGAGGAGCCTGACGGAGACCGTAGACCGGTCGCCTCAGTCTCGACTGTGTCCCAGGAGGGAAAGTGCCAGTGAAGGCAGAGGGACGACGCAGCCAGACCTCCTCGTGTAGGCTACCCTGAAGGAAAGCAGTGGAGAAGTCGAGAGAGTGTAACTCGTAGTCTCTCTATGCTGCTACGTGCAGTAACACCCGAAGAGTGGTCATCTTCGGGGTAGGCGCGAAGGTCTGAAAGAAGTCAACTCCCTCACGCTGACTGAAACCTCTAGCCACGTAACGCGCCTTGAAGACCGGAGGAGATCCCGGTGGCCGCTTCACCCTGTAGATCCACATGCCATCGACTACGTTCGCCCCAGGAGGGGGAACCTCGTCGACGTAAGTGCCTGTGGATCTATAGGAGGCCATCTCTGCGTCCATGGCAGCTCTCCACTGAGAGGGCCAAAACCCTGACACTGCCTCAGCGTAAGTGCGAGGAGTCGGTATGTCAAGGGCGTCGGGGTCTCCCTCAGGGGCGAGCAGCATGGCACAGAGATGAGGGGAAGCGGCTGCCAGGAACTCTAGCTCAAACTGCCTGTCCTCTAGGGCGTCACAGCCAAGGGCAGACTCACCCCCGACGGCCAGAGGACTGGAAGGAGGAGCAGCCACAAGACTGGTGGCGTAGTCAAGGCGGCGAGTAGAGGCAAACTCAGTGACTGCGGCAGTAAGAGCGGACACAGAGGACAGAGAGGCACGAGGGTCGGTACGAAGAGAGGCGAGAACACGAGAGAGAACAGGACGGTACGTGCGGTAGTAGTCAGTGACAGGAGTAGAGAGGGAAGCAGTGAGGGCAAACTCCGGAGGAGAAGGAAGCACAGACGGAGACGAACGAGGCGGACTAGGACGAAGCAGGGCAGTACGAAGGTCAGTGAAAGGGGCAGGGGACGAGGGACGAGCACGAGGAGAGCGACGAGAGGGCCAAGCGTGCGAAGGAGAAGGAGACAACGGAGGCGAAGAACGAGTGAGGACAGCGGGGGAGGAGTCAGGAGGAGGAAACGTGGGACCGTAGACGGGAGGAGAGGGGGAGGAGGAAGGAGAGCGAGAGGGGAGACCAAGGGTCCGAAGACCAGAGATAGGAGGAGGAGGAGGCTGCTGCCGCTCCTGCGGTGGCTGCTGCTGCTGCTCCTCCAGCTGCGGCTGCTGCTGCTGCTGCTCCTGCTGCTGCTGCTGCTCCTCCAGCCGCTGCAACTCTCGCTCCTCTCGCTCCAACTCCAGCTGCTCCTCACGGGCACGACGAACACGAGCATGGAGCCGGGTCGGGTAGGGTTGTGGGGGAGGAGTAGTGTCCGGGGCCGCAGCAGTCTCAGGACCGCCCTCCAGAGCACCAGGCGCACCACCCCCAGAGTCAGCACCAGTAACAGCAACACGGCCAGGCTCACAAGAACCCGCACCCGCACCCCCAGACGCAGCACCCCCAGACATAGCACCCGCTCCCGGAAGAGTAGAGTCATCCGCAGCCACGGGCTAAACCTCAACTCCAGCACCCCCAGAACCAGGGCTCGGCACAGGTACGCTCTCTGCTCCCACTCCAACTCCTCTGGAGCTAGCGCGTCCTCTCCACGAACACTGGCTCCCGCAGGGTGCGCAGTAGGCTGCGAGGAGGACTGCGGGGAAGGAGGCTGCACCTGAGGGGCTACCGAGGGGGGAGGGGTAGCGTGGGACACACCGGACAGGGCTGAACCATGGGGGGGAGGCTGTACCGGGGGAGCAGGAGGGGGAGCGGAAGTGAGGAAGAGAGGGGGAGCGCGCAGCCGACCCTCGACGCAAGGACCGCACGGTGGCGCAAGGGACGGCGGCAGCGACGGCAAGACACGCGGGAGGCCTAGGACAAGACGCTGACTAGACATAGCACGCAGACGAGGAATGGACGGGTGCCCCATCCGGTGGTGCCACAGAACGGTGGGGTGGGCAAGAGACCAGCAGGAGCAAGACGCAGCAACTGAACCAGACACAGGAACTGGAGTAGACACAGCTACCTGGGGGGACGCAGCAACCTGGTGAGACGCAGGGACTAGACGTGGGGCAGGGACAGGAGCCGGGGGCAGTAGCCGCTGCTGCTGCTGCTGCTGCTGCTGCTTCTGCTGCTGCTGCTGCTGCTGCTGCTGCTGCTGCTGCTGCTGCTGCTGCTGCTGCTGCTGCTGCTGCTGCTGCTGCTGCTGCTGCTGCTGCTGCTGCTGCTGCTGCTGCTGCTGCTGCTGCTGCTGCTGCTGCTGCTGCTGCTGCTGCTGCGGCGGCTGCTGCTGCTGCTGCTGCTGCGGCTGCTGCCTCCTAGGGCTAGTGTGAAGTGTGTAGAGGTCGGAGCCCGGCTCAGCAGTAAAGGTGGCGAGAGGCGTGAACGAGTCCCCGTCCACACAAACCGCAGTCTCGCCAGAGGGCTCAACCCACACACCCACGTGCTGACTCGCGAGAGGCCTCACACCCACCAAGTTCCTCGAGAACGAGGGGACGTAGAATCCCGTCAGCGAGCCCGACGGAACAGCTGGGCACGGAAGCGTAGTAGTGTAGCGAGCAGTGACTGGTCCCGAAGTGGGATCAGCCAGTGCTACAGAGACCGGCGCAGGAAGTGGTGTAAGCGTCGTGTGGTTGCGAAAGAAACAGTGCGAAGCTCCAGAGTCCAGAGTGAAAGACAGCGAGGCCTCCTCCGAAGCAGCTCCTGGACTAGTGTCTACACAAGTACCTACACTAGCAACAGGCAACCCAGCAAGACTAGCACCTAAGCTAACAACACTCGAGTAAACAAAGTCAGAAGCACTAGAGTCAACAACAGCATACATAGCATGAGGAGTTCCTAAGAGATCAACTAACTGAGAAGCAGACATGCCCCACAGAGCGGAGCCGTACGTCTGAACAAGAGGAAACCAGTCAGGGGCAGGGCCGCCAACGCCGAAGGCCAAACGAACCGTGTCAGTAAGCTGAGCAAAGCACTGACCAGGTGGGTGAGTGCGGCCACACGGCTGGCCCCGGCGAGCACCTGTCTGAACCAGATAGGTGCACGGAGGGTGAACAGCAGCTCGCTGGAGCTGACGCTGGCCCGACCCTAAAGCCTGCTGCTACCGCTGCTGCTGCGGGGGGTGCGGCGAGGGGAGTAGCTGCTGCTGCTGTCGCTGAGTCAGGTACCACGCCGCCGCTCCACCCACAGCGGCCGGTAGAACGCGAGGCAACTGACGAACTCGGGCTTCGCCACCACTAGCTGCAGCAGGGGAGTCACTGGCCGCTGCACGAGACGCCTCTCCAGGCCCTGCACTCCCACCACCACCGGTCGCGACTCCAGCCCCACCACCTCCGCCTCCACCGCCGTCGCCACCCGCACTCTGACCGCCCCTCTTGCCACCCCTACCCCGAGACCGCGACGAAGTCGTAGCAGCAGCTGCGGTCACGTCAGTAGCGGCAGTGGCGGGAGAGGCAGTAAAGGTGGCGATCAAGTCAGCAGAGCGCTCAAACGAGGCAAGATCAGGGAACAGGAACGGTAGGAAGAGTCGGCCAAGAGAGACAGTAGTGGGAGTAGTGTAGCGGGCCTTAATCACAGTCAGGCACTCGCTAGCAGTGCGAACCTGAGTGAAGTGGGCCTCCTCAGACTCAGGGAGAAGGTTGCTGAGTGCGATGCAGGCCGCAGCGTCACGCGACGTCCACGCCGTCAGGTCAGCGCGCTGGCGGGCAAAGCGGTCTCTGGCGGCGTCGTCAGGGTCAGGGCCTAAAGGCGTAGGGTCGAGGGGCGCAGGGAGGACACCACTAGCGTGGGCCCAGAGGGTCTCACCCGACTGAACCAGACTCTCTAACAAGCGACGCGCGCGTAGGAGCCAGACCGGAAACTCGAGTGGTCGGCCGTCAGCGTCAAAACGAAGGACCCGAGGGGTCGCCATAACGAAACTAGAAGCAACTAGAACGGTAGGTCGTAGCGCGGCGCGAAAAGAGGGTCCGCAGCAAGTCTATCGAGAAAGCGCGGCGGCGGGCGGAACGAGCAGGCACGACGACTCTAAGGGAGGGCCAGCGGCAGGCTGAATGAGCTGGCGCAGCGGCGGGCAAGACATGCATGCGTGGCCCACGGGCGCAGCGGGAAGGGCGGGCGCAGAGGGTAGGGCGGGCGGGTAGAGAGGGCGCGGGTAGGATGGGCGGGTAGAGAGGGGGCGGGTAGGGCGGGCGGGTAGAGAGGGCGCAGGTAGGGCGGGTGGGTAGGGCGGGCGGTTAGGGTTTGCGCGACGGGCAGCGGGGAGGGGAGGGCGCAACGCGACGCGACGGGCGACGAGCGCGACGCGACTCGACGGGCGACGGGCGCGACGCGACGGGCGACGGGAGAGGGCGCGACGCGACGAGCAGGGGGGGGCGGGCGCGACGCGACGGGCGACGGGAGAGAGCGCGACACGACGGGCAGCGAGGGAGAGAGCGACGCGACGGGCAGTGGGGGAGAGCGCGACTCTAGGCTAGTCGGCGCAGCGGGGACTAACGAACGGGCGAGACTAGATCGGGCCAACGCTAGGCTCGGGCAAGACGGGTACGACGAGTACGATAGAGGTAGACAGGCTCGGGCGGAACGAACGTGAACGGGAGGAACGGGATCCCACAGGATCCTAACCTAGGTGATACCATGTCAGAATCGAAAGTGTTGGTTTCATTGATGCAGGTTGGGGTACATATAACAAACCCTAACATTTGTACCCCCTAAGACAAACCTCACTACAGGCTACAACATTTGACACAAACTACTAAACGAGAATGAATGCATTGAGTAGAAGCTGAGTACAAGTACTAACCCTAATTGGGTTGTACCCCTTTTGGGCTACCCCACTACAGCCTACACAGCACAAACATTTACATGTTTTGAGAGTATTAGCTCATGCCTTTGCTCATACCTCTTACTCGTTTGACACCCTAGTGCAATTCTCGCTACTTCGTTCCATTGCACTCGTTTGACGTTATTCCAAGCACTTGGTTAGGGCGCGTGTGATCAAAGTTCGAACTTCCCAAAGTTCGAACTTTTAGAAAGGTTCTACACGGTAGGATACAATTGAGCGATGTCTCTCCACGATGCAAAGCGGTTTGAGTTCGAACTTTGACAAAAATCCTTGGATCACACGCGCCCTTAGTTCAACTCATAGCCTAGAAATATCGCATCCTTCGCATATCCGTTACACCCTTCCGTATTCGCCAAACCCAGCTACTCGCTAAAATTGAATAGGAACAACACTCTGCCGCCATTCTCCCTTACGCTGCCTCGTCACCACCCCATCCGAGCCGAGCCTTCGATGGCGGAGTCGCGTGCGTCACCCTCCCTGGCCGCGGTCGTCGTCATCGGCCCCAGCGGCTGCGGGAAAACGTGAGGTAGCGCCGTGCCTTTGTCGCGCGCGTTTCGGCGCGCGTGCTTTCGTCGCGCGCATTTCGCGCAGCTTAGCGAAGTTGCGATCCACCGTTCACATCTCGTCAATCCCGTCGGCGCGTCCCGTCTCCGCATCCCAGCGCTCTTCCCCTTCCTTCATGGTCTCCTCGGCACCAAGGAGTGCCAGCTCGTGGAGAGATCCGGGCTGGACTCGAATAACACCCACACTTTCGAGTCCAGCCACGGGCTGCACCCGCGGTGTACATTCTCTGTGATCAAAGTACTGTTCTTTAAATATATTATATTCGTCCAATTCTGATTGGTCGCTGTGGCCAGGAGCGTGGGGAGTCGCGTGGCGGAGAGGCTGGGGTGGGAGTTCTACGACGCTGATGACTTCCACTCGTTGGAGAATAAAGGTAGATGGGATGGGATGAGATGGTGGGTGGGGATGTGGTGGAGTGGGATGGGGTGGGATTGAAGCCGCTGCTTTATAGACACTACTTGCCAACCCCCCCGTGGTACCTCGCTCTCGGAACCACCCCACTGCCCCAAACTAGAACTACTCACAGCCTCCTCCTGTCTCATGTCGACCGCCTGTGGCTAACCCTGGCGACCACGTCACCCACTCTGGCTGCTGCTGCGTGTGCCTGCCCACCATCCCCCATCCCCCATCACCCCTCCCTTTCCGTTACGCTCCCTCTTCCCCTTTCCCCTCCTCCCACTCTCCCTTCTCCCGCCCCCACATCTTCCCCTTCTCCCCCCCCCTGGCAGTCAAGATGGCGGCAAGAAGTCCCTGTCGAGCACTGTCCGCCTGAGACCTGACCACACCTGACGGCTCTGCCATCCCTCCCCTCCCCCGCCGTTCCTCCTCCGCTCATCGCAGCCAAGATGGCAGCAGGCACTCCCCTGTGCGACGCCGACCGCCTGCCGTGGCTGCTCTCCCTGCACGCGCTGCTCTGCCCCTCGCACCCGCTCCCTCTCCCTCGCCCCTCTCCACACTGGGGCTCCCAGACACATGCTCCCCCACAGCACACCTGTCAAGCCCCTGCTGATTCATTCGCGCCGTCCCCTATATCATGCTCCTCCCCGCTACGCTCCCTCTCTCCTCCCCCGCCCCATCCCTCTCCCCCACCCCGCCGCCCCCTGGTGCTGGCCTGCTCTGCCCTCACACCTGCATACCGCAACGTGCTGAGGTGGGGAGATGGAGGGGGAGTGAGGGGAGAGCAGGGGGTGGAGGCCTGCGGGGCAGTTGAAGAAAGAGATTGGCTGCACAAGGGTGCAGGGGGTGCGGAGGGTGGAGGTTGCGCTGCCACAGAGAGTGATTCTGTCAGAGATGCTGCAGAGACCAGCAGCGCAGCTTCTGCAGCAGTCAGCAGCAAAGGGTGCCAGGCCAGCACAGGCAGCACAAGTAGCAGCAGCAGCAGGGCATATGCATTGCAACGTGGAGAAGCTCACAACGCAGCAGGTAGCAGGTGTTGCAGAAGCAGGTGTTGCGGCAGCAGCACATCGTTGGAGCCCCCCGCATCATTCTCGCCCCGCCTGCTCTTCATTCTGCTGGACGTGCCTCCCCATGTGCTGGCGGACAGGCTGGCCCAGCGCCACCACACAGAGGGCCACTTTATGCCGCCCTGCCTGCTGCCCTCGCAGCTGGCGCTGCTGGCAGTGGGGGAAGGTGAAGGGGATGTGGTGTGTGTGCGTGCTGATCGCGAGCTGGAGTGCGTTGTGGATGATGTTGTGAGGGTGGTTGCGCAGAGGATCTAGTCTTGTGAGAAGGTGTTCACCCGTTGGCTACTGTATTTATTTCCTCTGTGGTGCGCGTGCGAGCTGACCGTGACCGGGAGTGCTACTAGAGTTAGCCCTCAGTCTCAACTACCGTATTCCCCCGGATAAAACACCCGGGGGTATTATGATAACCACTGGGAAAAAATGGGGGGAGGTCTCCTCAACGGAAAATCCTATATAATACCCGGGTCTATTCATATGACATTTTTTAACATAAGGATTCTGAAAAATGGACAGCTTCGGTGTTTTCGAAGTTGGTTAACCAGCACACTCAGAGGCGGGAACGCGAGTTTCGGCAAATGATATCTTGACCACCTTGGAGATGGCATGTGGCACCTCTTTGGCCACTTGACCACGAAAGATTCGCCAGCCTCGCGACAGCGAAATTGTGGGAGGGGGGGAATCTCGGCAGATATCATTTGAAAGTTCCGTGTAATTTCGTAGAGGGAGGGATTTTCGTGTCCTCCCATACTTGCACGCACTCGTTATCAGCTATTATTATAACAAATCTATATGGAGAGGGGGGTGTTATAGAGAATCACCCCAAAAGGGGGGGTATAGTACTAACGGGGTCAAATATAACACCCACCCCGCACAAGCTACCCGGGGGTGTACAATTCGGGGTGGGTGTTTTATCCGGGGGAATACGGTATTGTATTGTACTTATTTATCCTAGCATAGTGTAGTTTGTACATTGTGTTGGTGGGGTGTACACCCACATCCCAACCAAACCCAAATCTGATCAACATGCAATCTCCAACCCACCTATTGAAGATTGCCTTGGGATTGCCCCCAATCCTCTAGTGATTGCCCCGGATTTCCGCCCATCCCTACAGCAGTTAGGGTTAGGTTTATGTACCCCAACCAACCTTAGTCAAACACCATTCAGTTCTTGACATGGTATCACCTAGGTTAGGATCCTGTGGGATCCCGTTCCTCTCGTTTACGTCCATAGCGCTCGAGCCTATTCCGTACCCTAGTGTGTGTCACGCCCTACCGTACTCGAGCCTGTCCCGTACCGCGCCCTAGCGCCCGCTGCGCCTGCCGGTCGCATCGCGCCCGCTTTCCCCCGTCGCGTCGCGTCCCCCCCCGCCCGTCCCGTCCGTCCGTCCCGTCACTGCCCGTCCCGTCCGTAGCGTCGCGCCCCTGCCGTCCCGTCAGTCGCGTCGCGCCCCTGCCGTCCCATCCGTCGCGTCGTGCCTGGCCGCCGCGTCGCGCCCGTCCAGTCCGTTCCGTCGCGTCGCCTGGCGCCGTCCCGTCCCGTCGCGTCGCTTCCGCCGTGCCTGTCCCGTCCTGCCTGTCGCGCAGCGCCACGCCGCGCGCGTCCTGCTCTGCCTGCCGCGCAGCGCCGCGCCCGTCCCGCCCTGCCTGTCCCGGAGTGCCGCGCCGCGCGCGTCCCGTCCCGTCCCGCTCTGCCGCGCCACGCCATGCCCGTCACGTCCCGTCACGCCGCGCGTCCCGTCCAGCCGCGTCGCGCCAGTCCCGTTCAACCCTACCCTACCGTCCCGTCGCGCCCTAGGCTTCACGCACTGCCCGTCACGCCCTACTCAGCCCCACTTGGCGTTTAGGGTTTCGGCAGTTCCAGTTCACACCTGTTCGCTATAGCCATGGCGACCTCTAGGGTTCTGCGCTTTGATGCCGAGGGTAGGCCGCCTGAGTTCTCTGTTTGGCTCCTCTGTGCGTAGCGCCTCCTAGAGAGTGAGGTTTAGGCAGACGAGTCTCTGTGGATGCACGCTTCCGGTGACCTTCCTGCGCCCCCTGACCCTGCACCCTTAGGCGCTTCCGCCAGCACTGCAGACAGAGACAATTATGCATGTCAGCGTGCTGACCAGACAGCGTGGAAGTCGCGTGACGCTGCGGCCTGCATCGCCCTCAGCAAACCTCCTTCCTGAGTCTGAGGAGACCCACTTCACTCATGTTCGCACTGCTAGTGAGTTCTTGACTGCGATCAAGCTCGCTACACTACTCCCACCACTGTCTCTCTTGGTCGCCTGTTCCTCCCATTCCTGTTTCCTGACCTCGCCTCGTTTGAGCGCTCTGCTGACTTGATCGCTCACCTGCGCTCGCTCGATTCTAGCTACCGCGCTGCCTGCACTGACGCACAGCTTGCACTGCTCCCTCCCCCCATGGCGATTACTATCTATTTCATCGCCACTAGCCTCCCTGACCGCCTTGCCTCGGTTCGTGACGCGCTTCTTCTGAAGCACCCTAGCGAGCTCACTATCGAGGTCCTTGAGTCTGCCCTCAAGGACGTCGAGAGCAACCTTCGCTCGGTAGCCTCTGGCGCTGTGCCCCCTCCACTGTTTCACGGGTGCACTGTCCCTCAGCTGCCAACCTTCACTGCCTCTCTCGCCATTGCCGCTACTGACGTGACCGCAACTGCTGTTACGACTTCTTTGCAGTCTAGGGATAGGAGTGGCAGAAGGGGCGGTCAGGGCGCGGGCGGAGGCGGCGGAGGTAGCAGCAGGTTCCGGGGCAGGGGTCAGGACCGCGTCAGCTGTCGCGCGGTGCCGTCCACCCTCCCTGCTCCTACGTCGTCTAGACAGGTACTCGAAGAGACCTCCCCTGTGGCTGCAACCACACCCCGGGTTAGTGCTTTGCTCAGCTCAATGATACTCTTCGCGCGGCCTACAGCGTCGACAACCCTGACCCTGACTGGCTTCCTCTTGTTCACTTGCACGGTACTGCCCTGTGGGGCATGTCTGCTTCTCAGTTGCTTGATCTCTTAGGAACTCCTCATGCTATGTATGCTGTTGTTGACTCTAGTGCTTTTGACTTTGTTTACTTGAGTGTTTTTAGCTTAGGCGCTAGTGTTGTTAAGGTGCCTGTTGCTAGTGTAGGTACTTGTGTAGACACTAGTCCAGGAGCTGCTCCGGAGGACGCTTCGCTGTCTTTCACTATGGACAGGAGCTTCGCACTGTTTCTTCCGCGACCACACGTCGCTTACTCCGCTTCCTGCGCTGGTCTCTGTAGCACTGGCTGATCCCACTTCGGGACCAGTCACTGCTCGCTACACTACTACGCTTCCGTGCCCAGCTGTTCCCTCGGGTTTCCTGACGGGCTTCCACGTCCCCTCGTTCTCCAGGAACTTGGTGGGTGTGAGGCCGCTCGTGAGTAGTCACGTGGGTGTTTGGATTGAGCCTTCTGGGGAGACTGCGGTCTACGTAGACGGTGACACGTACACGCCTCTTGCCACCTTTACTGCTGAGCCGGGCTCTGGTCTCTACACCCTTCACACTGGCCCCCGAGGGCAGCAGCAGCAGCAGCAGCAGCAGCAAACATGGTGACTTCTACGCTGATCAGGTGGTTGCTTACCACTGAGGACACTCGTGGTCGTCGTGTCAGCTGTCTTCACTCCGACCGCGGGGGTGAGTTTTGCTCCGGCGTTCTCGCTGGATTCTGTCGCGAGCAGGGCATCCGTCAGTCCTGGACGCTTCCAGAGTCCCGCCGCATAGGCTTGGTCATGGAGATTGCCCGCAACTCCTTGACTCACGCTCGTGCCCCCCATTTTCTGTGGCCCTACGCGGTTCGGTACGCCGCTCACCAGCTGAACCTCTGGCCCCGTGTCTCTCAACCAGAGGCTTCACCGACCAGTCTTTGGACCGGGTCCCCTGGTGCTGCGTCGCGTTTTCGTGTCTGGGGTTGCTTGGCACTTGTTCGCGACACCTCCGCGGACAAGATCTCGCCTCGCGCCATTCCCTGTGTCTTCCTTGGTTTCCCAGAGGGCTCCTCTGACTTCACCTTTTACCACCCTCCCCTTCACCGGTTCTTTGACTCCCGTGACGTCCGTTTCGACGAGTCTGTCCCCTACTACGTCCGGTACCCCTGTCGAGGTCTCCTGGTTCCTCCTCCCCCTATCTTCTTGACTTCCGCTCCCCAACCTGCCCCCCCGGTACAGCCTCCCCCCCCTGGTCCAGCCCCGTCAGGTGTGTCCCACGCTACCCCTCCCCCCTCGGTAGCCCCTCAGGTGCAGCCTCCTTCCCCGCAGTCCTCCTCACAGCCTACCGCAGACCTTGCAGGAGCTGGTGTTCGTGGCGAGGACCCTGGAGGTGCTAGCTCTAGAGAAGTTGGAGTTGGAGCTGAGAGGTCCTGGTTCTGGGGGTGTTGGAGTTGAGGCTGAGCCCGCACCTGCAGGCGCCTCTAGTCTTCGGGGAGCTGGTGTTAGTCGTGCTGTCTCTGGGGGTGCTACGCCTGGGGGTGCGCCCTCTGCTGGACCTGGAGAGCCTGGGACTGACCCTGTTACTTCTGGTGGTATTGGCTCTGGGGGTGGTGCGGCTGGTGC